ATGGACGCAAACTATAGCGGAGGAGATGTAAAAGGATAGTTTTTGCACCTTGCTGTCAAACTAGCATGTCAAGCTTAACTTGCAGCAAACTACTTTTTTTGCAGTTAAATATTCCTTGGCAAGTTGTTAATCAATTTGTATATAATTGCATGTTCAAATTGAATTTCAACTTGACTTCCATGTTAAGTACATAAAATGGTACGTTTTTTGGTGATAGAAGTTCCGAGATCACGGCGTGATCATCACGCATTGTGAATCAAAGCTAGATAGTTTACTTCGAAGCAAAACACTGCTGATTTGTCTAGTGTGACTAGGCAATCCTAAATCTAAACTTACCCACGTGTCCCATCCTTCCCACGACTTGTCCTTCAAGCTTGACCATTTCATTCCACCCGTTAACCGCATCCTTCCCGTAAAGCGTGACCATGACATGGATTACAACCACGTAATACGACAGAACGCCTAACAACGCCAAGATTAACTTTATTGGCAACGGCATGTATGGTTCTTCCGGTGTGGCGCGAACTATTTGGAATATGTCGTACACAAATGCACCAGCCGTTATGCTGTCTACGGAGATAAACATGTTCAAATGCCATATTTTAACCTTAACGTTGCCCTTGGGTGATTTGTAACGGAGACATTCTCGCTTTTTATCCCATTGTATGGGGCATTCCGAAAAAAATCCTAATTTAGAGGTATGTTCCCGAAAACTGGAAACCACATATGGAGGAGCCATTTTCAACGATGTCTACATTGGGAATAAATTTTGCAAATTTAAAATTGTCATTGTCGTGCTGAGAAAACTTGCGAATTTAACAGGTCGATAAAAATTAGTCGTAAATATTTTCTCATTAAAAATGATAAGTTTTATAAGGAAAACATGTATATTTTATTGGCAGACCATGATGACGTACGAATTTAACGAGAGGCACGAACTTCCTGCCCAGAAGACCCACCATTTGCATGTTAATCGGTTTATTGCTTACCAATAAGGGATATTTTTATTTATTTATGTATTGACATATCTTTGGAATACATAAAATTTATTACAAAGTTTAATGAGTAATTGGCATAAAAGTTAGGGCTGAGGTTCTTAGTAAATCCTAATAATTACATAGGAACTACCTATTTAATTATGATCCATGGCCGTCTTTAAAAAATCGTATAAGCTCTCTATGCGAAACTGCCAATACTTAAAACGATGTATGCACATACTTAAAATAGAAATTGTAACTAAATGCCTAAAAAATTAATTTTACTTTAAAAAATACGGGGGTTTTAAACAGACAGTAAAAGAACCAGAGTTTTTTAAAGGGATACATGCTGGCGTTGTTGTCAGTTTCTGAAATCAATTCGTACGTTGTTGTGTACTTGGTTTGTGGGATTTTGTATATTTCCTGGTCGAATCTGGTTCAGGTAGAGTAAATTTTGCTTGTGGGACGGATTTGTCAAATGTTCTGATGATTGTCTTTTGCAATTTGGGTTCTACGTACGTTGATTTTAACTTTTCAGTATTAATTTGTCCCTTTTTTAATTCTTCATGTAATTGGTTATGAGATAATTTGCGTGCCGATTGAAGGGTTAGGTATTGTTGGTGGTAAGATGTCGCATGGTTGGGCAGAATTTCTCCCGTGTCGCGATATACTTGATCTCTCAGCATTGAAATACAGGTGGGTAAAATTTTGTCGAAAGATGCCGGATATTTGGTCTTCATTTGGTTGAAGTGACGATGTTTGTCTTGATTGCTTGCCCGTTCCGCTTGATGTTTTAAGTGATCAGAGAGGCCGTTAGGTCGACGAAGGAATTCTTTTAAACGATCCTTACGTAAATTCCTTTTCTCGTTTTTATTCTAAAAGTAAAACAGTGTGTAGCATTATTATTTTTAGTTTTTTTTACTGTAAGATGATAGATTTTGTAGTAAGAGTTAAATAGTTAGTGGAGGAAAGACTAAAGAGTTTCCTTTTCTTTCTTATTTAGTTAGTCGTTATGTCAATCGAATTAACCTCTGTTCCACGATAGGCGATTTCAGCGCCACGGGTAAGGAGTGTGAAAATACCATGGTTTCCGAATAAAATCACCCATCGTGAAACGAAGTTTAATAAAATTTATGCTTGCAGTTTTTAGGGGCTGTCCATAAATTATGTAACGCAAGACCGAGAAGGTGAATCTGAGGCTCCAATAATATCCTGTCTATGTGACACATGTTAAAGGGGGTGATCTAGAAAATTGAGATTTTTGCCTTACACAATTTATGAACGACCACTTAACTGATATGTGACTGTGCATTGCTCTGCTCTTATCGGATTTGGTGAATGATTGACGAATAATCTCTACAGTAATTTTCTAGATATGTCCATCTTATGCATGCCGGCTCTGTCCCTTTAGCCTAATACCTATTTTAGAGGTTGGAGCAGATCATTTTAATTCTTATAATATATGTAAATACATACATAGACTTTTGGGAAAACGTTATCGTCCGACATGTAAGGTTTTGGAAAAGTGTTAGTATTGTCAAGAAAAAGGTCGTATTGAAAAGGAAATATCAATTCAAAAAAGGTAAACATTGCTATGTATGAGAAAAAGTTAACCTATTTTGGTATGCATGAGAAAACGATGCTTTTAAGGGTTCGATTTTGGGAGAGAAAAGAGGTTACTTATTGTAACGGTGGTGGTGGATAGCGTATATGCATGTACCCTTTTCTATGAGAATACTAGTGAAAAAGGAAAGTGATATTGAAAACGAGTTGATTTACATATTTACTAGAATTTAAGTGAATTTGTGATTTAAATTAGGGTTGCCGCGGGTAGCAAAAATGCTGCCCGTTACCCGACCCGTTACCCGCAGTCCAACTACCCGTACCCGCACGGGTACCCGTGCGGGTACCCGTTACCCGCTACCCGTTATGAGAATTAAGCTAAAACCCAACTAAGCTTCGGAATAAATTTGGTCTAATCAATTATTTGCTCATTTGGGTTGATATATAGTTTGAAATAATGTGAAGCAAGTAGGGTTGCCGCGGGTAGCAAAAATGCTGCCCGTTACCCGACCCGTTACCCGCAGTCCAACTACCCGTACCCGCACGGGTACCCGTGCGGGTACCCGTTACCCGCTACCCGTTATGAGAATTAAGCTAAAACCCAACTAAGCTTCGGAATAAATTTGGTCTAATCAATTATTTGCTCATTTGGGTTGATATATAGTTTGAAATAATGTGAAGCAAGTAACGCATACCGTAATTTGCTAGGTAGATGTCATTAGTTATTTCTATTTAATACCAAACCTTTTTCTTACAATGGAACCTTTTTGAAGCTACACCGGGTTTCTTAGCGAGCTGTATCAAAAATCAAGCCAGAAATTAGGAATTACATACACTTATCTTTCCAGTGAATGGCCCCTTTGAAGAAAACTATGGCGGGCGAGGCAGGTCAAAGTCCACCATGGTTTACGTCCAGTGAAGGAAAAAGAGAGAACATTTACTTAAAAATTGAACTTTGCTGCGACATTTTGCTTCAAAGTGACTAGTCAGCGAAAGATAAGAATCACGTGATTTCTAATTTTGACTTATCTTTTTGATAGAACTCGCTTAACAATCCTGGTGTAGCTTGAGAAAAGATTCCATTGGTAGTTTGATTTTTTGAAATTTTGATTTAAATTCAGTTTTTATTTTAAAAAATTGCCTCCAAATTTTGCTTTCAATCGTATCGACGGTTTTCACCCGAAAAATTAAGATATCGTCAGTGTTACATAAATACGCAGAAATACAAGCCAAATTAGTACCGATATTTAAGAAAGGGTGAATTCTGCTTGAGAAACAATAATTTCTCGGAATTATCTGAACGCAAAAAGTATTTGAGGCTGCCGTAGGCTTCTGTGGCTTCCGAAGAGACACGCTCGTTACAAACTCTAATTGCTGGCAAATGGCAAATTTTCAAATGCATAAATAATATACTGACTCTGTTGTTGGTAAATAGACTAACTTGATGCTACCTTTCTTTGTGAACTGATTTATGTCGAAAATTAAATAAAAACTTACCTACCCGTTACCCGTGCGGGTAGTTCTCACTACCCGCAGATAACGGGTACCCGCAAGAATCGTGCGGGTATGCGGGTAACGGGTACCCGACCCGTTACCCGCGGCGACCCTAATTTAAATTATTGCCAATTGAGATGAAATCTTGGCAAACCTTTCGATTCGGGACAGGCTGGTTGGACTCCATTGTTATTGATATGCGCTTATTGTTAATCTTCAGGCTCTAATTTAAAAGAAGAAGAGTTTTAATGACATACATAAGTATCTTACAACAATAAATAAAATTTAACAAAAATGGGAGGTTTTACTACATTTAAGGACTTTACAGGAGGTTAAATTTCCTGAAAAAGTTTCTGAGGCTAGAAGGAATCAAGCAGGAGGATTGTGTAAGGTGAAGCGAACAAACAGATTTTAGGAAAACCAGAATATTCAGGGATCAAGTCAAGGGACTCGGTACGAACCCAGAGTTACGACTGATCCCCTTCCTTGGGTTTTCTTTACTTTTTATACAGATTTGTTGCCGATTATATATCTGTACGGGTCCAAGCCATTGACCTCGATTCTTTGGGTTTTGCCATTGTTGTTGTGCCGGACTTGTTATTATATGTACAGTATTATATGTTTCTTGTATATGTACCTTACTATCAATAAGTATGTGCTTATATCTTTGCGTGTGTATATGTATGATCTACAGATCTGCAGATCATAAAATTCAGAAATTTTGTAAATTCAGAAATGTATACGTAAGCTAGTAAATCAAAAAGGTAACGTTTACTTTTAACCTGACGCTATCGTTATGGCCGAAGCAGTATTGCTCGTGGCTATAGTTGAAATCGTTGGCGCTGCAGTGCACGCTTAAAAATGTTCCCGACTTTGCAAGAAGTAAACTGGTAGACAACTATATATAAAGTAACATTGACTAGATTTAGCGTTAAATGGATAACTTTAATTTTAGTTATGCATCATCTAGCCATAATTTTAGTTAAGTCGGTATATTACTTTAAACTAAGTTAGACGTTACACCAATCAGGGTCAGACTGTACTAGCATTTACTACATTCCGGGTACTTTGTCCCGCCAAAAAAAAAGCTTGGCCCACGCTCCAATTTTCCATCGTCGTTGTAACAAGAGTGAGTGCCCGAGTGCGAATTAAAACTAAAGTATATATTAATTAATTTGCCTAATAATTAATTAGTTGAAGCTCAAATATTCCACAATTCCACACCAACTGTACTAGATATGGAAGAAACTGCTCGACTACTATCGCAATGTGGGCTGGATTGCTATTTTGATACTTTCAAGGGTAAGTTTATCTACAATTGTCCATAACTGTACCATAACTGACACTTTGCTCATTTCATTTTATTTTAAAATAGAAAATGCAATAACGGACGACGCGACGCGAGAAGATTTGGCAACAATTGTACCAATACGAAACTTTGGAAGGAATTCAGAAGTAGAAAAATGGCACGATTTACGTATGTTTTCAATGCAAAAATTCCTATCACCATTACTCTCCGATCACTTTAAATATGTGCATAGGTTATCAAAGTTAAGGCAATTATTTCATATTATTTTTGGTTGTTTTGTAATTGTGATTTAAAGAGTTCAAGTGGATTTAATTGAAATAAATATATGCTAATGAGGATATTTACAAATACCGCATTCATTTTATTGAGACACTATATAAATACCGCGACCATTATTCATTTTACTTAATATGGGGTTAGAATAGTAACCCCAACCAGGGTTAGCACCTAGACGAGAATAGGGTAAATGGCTATTTGCAAAGGGTAACTACCGTTACTTTATTGCTATGTTGTGGCTGTATACCCCAAATCGGGTAAAGTCACTTTTACGTTTATATTTAGTTATATTTTACTCCTTTTAGGGTAATAATTTTTAAGCGTGTGGGCTTGGTCGCCTGACTCTGCTGCAATGGTGAGAGACGCTTTTATAAATGGGGTTTGTTTAACTACTAATTGCTAGAAATATGTTTCTGGAAATATGTATGTAAATAAAAGATTGCTGACATAATCTTTTACCGGAATGCGTTGTTTTTTCCAGCAGAAAATAAAAAAAATTGAATTTGATTAGCCTTTCAAAGCTATTTAAAAATTGGCGCCGCAGCCGGAATTAAATCGGCGCGCCGCCGCCGCGGCCGACAGTGGCATCCGCATCGACCTCTGCGCCAAACTCGTCGGCGTTGACCTCTGCCCTGTATTGCAAGGCAAGAATTTTGTTTTAGCTGTTTTAAAAGGCTTGTAATATAGCTGGAACAAGATTTAAGGGGTGATCCGATTGACCCGTTCGCCCGTTATCCTGCTGACACACGGACGGACAGACAGACAGACAAAGTCTTATGAGCTGAAGCTACTTCATACTCAATAAAAATCTAAGCATTTACCCAGGAGTAATTTAAATAACAGCCACTTGATGCGTATATGAGCTTTTTTTAATGAGATTTTCTCCACGCACTGGAGGCAACTTGAGATACGCCAACGGGATTATAAAAGTGCTGCTGGTAAATGGGAGCTAATATTCTCGTGAAAAATAAATTGTCTCAATATGTTCAATCTACAATCGGTAATCCTTGTCAAAGTCAAGTTTCTGTCATTTGAGTGTCTTGCTTAACTGGAAGTCGGTCAGTTCGGGGACAACACATTTGATGAAAAATGTCACCATCAGTGCGATCTGGCGAAAATTGTGCCGCATTTGACGAAAATAAGGATGATGGAGCTCAACTCCAAAGTCAACTTGAAAAGCAATTTTACTGATGACTACGAGATTAGGGCTTCCCACAAGACGGGACAGTCTTGTCTTGTCTTGACAAGACGGGATCACAAGACGGGACAAGAGGGAAATTTACGTCCCGCGTTTTGGCAAGCAAGACGGGACAAGGGACGGGACCAACAACGTCTTGTCCCGTCTTGTCTCGGCAAGACGAAGTCTTGTCAAGAAGTCTTGCGACAATTTAAATATGATACTTTTGTCTCGGAATTTATTAAAATTGAATTTAAAGCTTAGCACAACGGTGGTATTTGTTCAGTAAAATATAACCTGAGTGAAATTGTAATTCCCTTAAATTGGAAATTCGATCGAAACGAATCATCGAATATTTTTCGGATAGCTTCATCTAATCCGTTATCATGAAATAGAATTTAGAAGTTAGAATTTTGTGTACAATACGAACATGAAGTCAAGTTTTGAGAACATAAATTTCCAAACAAGCAGTTTTTGATCAAACCAAAACAGAGATTTTCCGTTTTAGGGATGGCAAAGGCCTTTTTCCCACTCCCCTGTGTAATGTGATTTTTACCAGTCGAAACCTTGGTTAAATTATTCTGCAATTAGTAAAAACAATTTGTATCATGCATCCTGAAGCGAACTTTTGTGATTGGATTTAAAATTCAACTCATTTAAAACGTGTGCGTCCTGAGTTGTCCCGTCTTGCACGGGACGGGCAAGACGGGACGCAAGACAAGACGGGACAGCTTGTCGTCCCGTCGTGTCTTGATATTTCGTCCTGCAGATTGTAACAAGACGAGACAAGACGTATAATCTTGTCTTGTCCCGTCTTATGGGAAGCCCTATACGAGATATTTAAATTGCTCTCTCGAGCTAATCCTTGCTTGAGTTTGAGGATGGTTCACAGTTTGTCAATTTCTGTTTAGAATAAATTATTTTACAACTTCAATTCAAAAACTTTTGTGTCAAAGCCGGAACCTAAGTTATGGACTGGAAGTTAGTGCGAACTACATACATGGATCGGGTGGAAAATTATTCACTTCGATATTTTGTAGTGCTATAAAATTTATTTATTATTTGCACAAATAAAACAAGAATAAATACATTGTGGTTTAAATGTCTCGCTATCTACAATGCAAAATTTCTCAATCGGAAAAAATCACAAACTTCCATTAGTTACAGGAAATTGGTCCCTGAAATTCAAAATTTAACGAATTTTTGTCATTTGTGTTCCATCAGTTTTGATAATACTTAATAAAAATCTCAATCGCAAATCCTGTAACTATTTAGGAGATTTAGGGGGTTTCCTTTATAAAAGAGATCCGCTAAGTTATCGGACCGCCGCAATCAAATGCCCAGAACTTTACACATTGTTGATGTAATCTCAAAAAAATTGCATATGTTTATAACCAAAGGGTTTGGATTGCCATACAGTTAAAATTTTAATGATTCAATTCCGCTATCTGTAACAGATTGCATTTTCTTCTTCAGATTTCGCATCAAATTCCTCCCATCGACTGCACCTACTTTCAAGCTCATTTTCTTCCATCTGTTCTTAAATTTTCGTAAGGTATCTAGCGTTTCTGAAAGCTTCGAATATTTTGAGTTAGTTAGCGCCCAGAATTTCTCAATTGGTCGCCGTTGAGGAAAATTTAGTGGGTTTTAATTTTTCAGCACAAATTCTATTTTTTTCAGATTTTGGTTCTGAGTGACCTTTTTGGCGTCATGAGACCTTGGGAGGTCAGGCCAAAACCAAACTTAATTTTTTTATGATGTTTGGTAATAAACGATTCTAATCCCCCTTTAACCCCGTGTTTATACTCGTCATTTCATTTTCATTTACTTTTAATTTCACTATAGCTTTCGCGTCATTTTCATCGTTGTAATTTATAGTGATGCAACGAGTTCTACATTTCGAGTTCGAGCCGAGTTCGAGTACTCTGCAAAGCTCGGTGCCGAGTGCTCGAACTCGAACGAGTTCGAGCACTCGGTGAAACTCTGCAACCGAGTACTCGAAAAACCGAGTCTAACTCTGTTTTTCGAGTGCTGCGGCAATCTTCACTGCGTTCTTCACTGATTTACATATCTCAACATACATATGTATGTGTACATATGAAGAAAGTAGTAGTTTTATATTTTCTAAAATTCAAATTTTGAAAAGTTAATTCTATAATTTAGAAATATTAATGTTGAAGAAATAAAAATCGTTTCTCTAATTCAATGCCAAATTACAAATTAAAATGCGTTTCATTATGATGTTAAATACATTACTACCACGTATTTATCTACTGTTGTGTTAAATTTTTGGCAACTAGAAACCCAAAATTCATAAAAATTAGAGACCTTGATTACTTGAGCTTGTGAAGCTAGCTGCTCGCTGGTAAAACTTTTGTACATAACTTCTAACAAATTCAATTCAATAAAGAATTCCCCATGAAACTGGAAATATAAATCACTCAGGTCATTCTTAAACAAAAACAAAGAAAATCGATCCAGGATTGTTATTTAAAAAATAAAAACCAAATAAATAAAGTGTTGAAAAACTATGTTACATATCACATATTTAAGTGCCACCCCCACTGGCCACACAGGCGTTTTAGTTTTAAAAGAACTTCGACATGTGCTTTTACGTTCGGTCATAAACCTGAAATGAGGTCGAAGTTGCTAAAATTCTGCACAAATTCGAGGTCAATGAAACCTAAATAAATAGTGAAAATTCCAACTATTTAGTCATGAAAGTGAGAAATTTAATCGTTTGTGTGAAATAATGGAAGTAAACACGTGGAAGAGGGTAAGAGTATATATATAAAAAATGAAAGGGCGCTTAGTCTACTTTGGGGTAAACTAATACTAAAAAAGCTCGGCCGAGTGCAGAAAAAACTCTGCAGAGTTCGAGCTCACCAAAAATTTGCCGAGTTCACCGAGTACCGAGTCTAAACGAGTACTCGTTGCATCCTTAGTAATTTATACTTTTTCACAGAAATTCATGAAACATTAATTTTCCGATCATTTCATTTTGCTTTCACAGCAACTAAAAATTAAAATCCAGAATTTGGAAGGAATCTAAATTGTTGCCCTAAACTACGGTTCAGAAAACCAAAATAAAATAAAAATATTTAATATACCACAAATTAAAACCTAGGATACATGATGTAAGAAATAAAAATACAATAAACAAACCCTACAATGCAGCCTGATATAGTGCGACCATAGTTACAGTTGATTGTAAAGAAATTAACGCCGTTTTCATTTCCCAAAAGTTGAAACACTTTCAACTTTGGAAAACGGCGTGAAAGTGAAACCAAAATGAAAGCAAAATGAAATGAACGCAACTAAAGGGTGTTAATAAAGTCCGATCCCATGCATTTTTTGGAGCGTGGTTGTTACAAATTCAGCTGGAACTTTTGAACCAGTGAAGTTATTTATTTCAAATTTTTACCATGGGAGGAACAACTAAACGTGTAAGTCATGAGCATCTTAGAGTTGAGATACAAACATTGCATCAGCAGGGGCTTAAACCTACAGAAATTGTGCAAAAATTGGGCTGCAGCCGCAGAACTGTTTGGAAATGGAAGAATAAAAATTTTGTCCACGACAAAAAGCGACCAGGGCGACCCAGAAAGGTGTCACCTACCACAAAAAGAATGATTAAAAACAGACTTTGCAAGAAAACCGGTAGTTCATTACGTAATTGAGCAAGGGAGTTAAATGACTCAAAACGCTATAAAGAGAAGAAGAAGCAAATTAACTGTGTGACCGTGCAAAAATTTGTGAAAACTACGAAGTGGGGTCACACAGCTTACAAACTAACCAAAAAAACCTCTCATGTCACAAAAATATATCGATGACCGTCTGAAATTTGAAGAACTCCTTCAGAAAAGTGCCCATTTGAGTGAAAAAAGACTTGGTGAAGAATTGCGCAGTCACATCCTTTGGACTGACGAATCTATTATTGAACTATATCCAAAATTGAACCAACAAAATGTTCGTTACAGGACAGAAAACAAATCGGATGTACCATCAAGAGCGATCCCAAAATTCGGGCTTAAAGTTATGGTAGCGGGTGGATTTTGTGCACGTTGCGTGACCCCTCTACATATCATACCAAAAGGCCAATCAGTCAATGCAAAGCATTATATGGAAAAAATATTACCTATCTATTTCGATAGCATGGGGAACAAGGAAATATTTCCGAATGAAAGAAAAATAGTTTTCATGCAGGATGGTGCTATAGCCCATACAGCAAAAGCGAGTTTGAGTCTCATCAAGACGCAAGTTTCAACGGTCTGGAGCAAGGGGGTGTGGGCCGCTAACGGCCCAGATTTGAATCCCCTGAAGAACCAGTGGTCCATACTTAAGGAAAATGTATACAAAGAGCCACAACCCCGAACGAGGGAAGAGCTAGTAAAAAAAAGTTCAAGATGTATGGAATTCGATTTCCAGAGGCACATTGGAAAAATTAGCACAGAGCCTTAAACAAAGAGTTGAGGGCATGGTTAAAGTAAATGGTAACAAGACCAAATACTAAGGTAAATATGTCGAACATTTTTTGTAAGTATCACGGGTAGTTTTTTTTTATACTAGCCTTCACTTTTTTACAGGAAAAATGGGATCGGACTTTATTAACACCCTGTATAAATGTAATCATTTTGCTGTTGGCATGGCGTTAATTTTTGGTGAAAGCAAAATGAAACCGAAAAAGTATAAAATGAGTCGATCGTGAAAGTGAAATTAAAATGACGCTAAAATGACGAGTATAAATTAGGCCTAATTCATGATTTAAGATAAACCTCCTGGTTTACAGTGCCCTCCAAAATGACGGGATCGGAAACACGACCAATGCTAGACATGCGTTGCCAAATTCTTCATTTTTTGGGGAATTGGTCTTTCTTTTGGACTTTGTCTTCATATTTTACTCCGCAGGGGTTGGAACTATGGAAAAAATACCTTCCTGGAAGATTTGAATGGTCAGCCGTGACATGGGGCTCATTGTCCATGATGACCACTTTTCCCCAAGTCTTCTTCAACAATTTCTGGGAGCTTGCATCAATCCTTTCCTTTTCTGTTGGTTTGTAATTTGGTGCTGGTTTCTTTGCCCTGGCTAAAATCCCTAGTTTATGGACTTTGAGTTTGCTCAGATAGCTTTTTGAAATCTTGACCTTGCTTTTCGCTACAGCCATTGTCGTTGATGGATAATTTTTGAAGATTTTTTATGTGATTTTTGACTTTCGTCGTCGCTAGCTTTGCAGGTCGACCAGTAGGGACTTTGAATTTGAGTTAATTGGATTCATCGTACTTTTTTTATGTAAAAGTTGACATTTGAATGAGGAATACCATCTTGCTTGAAAAAGTGCCAAGTGATATTAGAATCATAGTTTGTTCGATTTTTGCGAAACGCAATCAATTTTTTTTTTCAACTCTTGCCTTTCAACCCAAGTTTTTTTAGTCTTAGCCATGACTCAATAATTGTTGACATATATAGATGGAAATCTTATAACTTGGTCTATTCAAAAATATTTTTTTCGAAATTTAATTTCAATCTGCTCCCGCTCAGCGCGCGTTTAAAGGGGCGGTCCGATAACTTAGTGGATCTCTTGTAGCGAGGTACTTAAACCACCCGTATGTAATGTTACATAATTAATGCGTACCAGATAGGTATACATTTAATGTATGCATACAATATGGATTCATAATTAGCTGTGTAATGTTATCCGTCCATTTATTAACTTGGAAATGATTAAACATATGTACGTATGTATCCATTTGTGTGATATTAAAGGATAGAAGATTGCGATGAATTTGACTTTACCGGATTTTTGTCAGATTTATTTTACAATGTGCCCATTTTCATCGTCATTTAATTAAATTACATTTTTATAAATTATAAAGGTAATAAATTTTGTAAATTTAGATTAAACAGGGTAGTGAACCATGGTAAAGTTTTTTAAGGCGACGTTCCCATCGTTGTTGTTAAGGAAGCTGCGCTAGACCGTGGGGACAGTTGTCGGCCAACTCATTGTCATGGTGGTCGTCTGACTATTCCCCGCGGATTTAAGCAGATTCGCCAGGCTGGCTTGAAGCCTGATCAAAGTCCCTCTGATTGTGGTAAAGGCTTCAATAACTTTTTGAATTTGCCCCGCCAACTCGGTTTGTCCTCGACTAACTGCTTGATCCAATCTGGCTTGCAGCGTGTCAATAACAATGTTCAGTTGCAACAGGGACCATTCAACGGTGACGAGAAGCTGACGGAGCGGATATAAAATAGTTTGGGCGATCGGTTGGGGTAAGGAGTTTATCAGGCTGGTGAGCGCCTGGCCGAGATCGTCGGTCGCCGTCGACAGCTGGGTTTCGAGCTGGGACAGCTGCTCCGGGGCGGGTAACAGCGGTGAGAGCCCCGGCAGGAGGGTGGATAACATAGGGGCGAGTTGGTTTAAGATGGAGGTAATCGGGTCAGTCAAACGTGTCAGGTCAACCAGGGGTGACGTTGGTGGCAAGGTTGTTGTCCCTGGTTGAAACAGAAACGGTCCTAATTGGGGAGCTGTTAAAAGTCGATTTCCGATGTTGAAAATATTAAGAAAACTTCAAACAAAAAACTGAAGCATTTGGAAATTCCAAATTGGAAATATTGACTGCGTGACGTAAAATTTGTAAACGCTTAAAAGTTAAAATTCAGTTTTTACCTATTTTGAAAAATAAACTTGGAGCAAAACTATATAATTTTGTAATACTTGAAAGAATTAAAATTATTCTGTCTTTACCTACCCCAACTAAAACGAATGAAGGAGCCAGGATAAATATTAACTTCATCGTTTCTTGAAATTTCTCGAAATATTGATCTTCAGATTGTGTCGGTCCGATGGCTAAATTGCGTCTGGGCTTGTCACCTTGGCTAGGTCTTGGTTAAAACTAGTTCTTACGTAGTTAAGTAAAGTTCATATTGAGTAGCGACATGAACAAGCTGAGAACTGATAACGATGAATTTGTGCAACTTATATAAATTAGTTCGCTTATACATATGTACACTTAGATACTTCAGTAATTGAATCATGCACCCGTACATACATGCGTATGGTATGGTAACACTTCTTATCAAACTTCTCGATTTATAAAGAAAATGAGATCACCAGGAATGAATTGACGCTTATCTATTTATTGCTTGTCTATTCAGTGTGCAAGTTTGTACGATTGTTTTTTTTCTCATTAGTTGACACTTCCTTCTTTTTATTATTATCTTATCTTACAGAATTAAGCGAAGCACTAAAGACTTTGGATATGAAGTTACTAACTATAAGTATATACCTACATACATAACCTAGTCATATGTTTTATGCATTTTTCGTACCCAGTTTTTGAAAGAAATTTCTGGAATTTACTAATATTTGGTAGGAATTTGGGTTTTTTAAACAATTTGCTCTGGAGAAAAACACGAAACTTGAAAAACATATGTAATGTCTTAGGAACCCTTGCAATAATTCATGTAAAATAAAAATCTATGTACATAAGTATCTAGGTAAATATATATATATTTATGTATGTGTAGATCCTCGTTGAATACAACCAGGATAAATATGTGTGAAATGAATGCCTATTCATAATTCACAAAATTGTCTCAATTTGTTTAATCTCATCCTCTTCAAAGTTCAGTTTGTGTCATTCGAGTGTTCAACTTAACTGTGCATGCAGTACATAGTCCAAAACTTTGGACTATACTATGACTATAATATACTAAACATAGTGTTTTTCCCTTTATTCGTTATTAATTAATTTAATTAACTTAGGTAATGCTGAATCATAATATTTCAGATTTTAATATTGGCTTGATGAACAATGTTACTTTTTCTTAACATCATACCAGATGAACAAGTATCGAATTTAGACAAAAATGCAAACTAATGCACAATTTATTGGACAATTTAACGAGCAATTTGCATATGTATACGTAAATCTTCTCTAAAACAACATTACTTGTTAATTCAAATCATTTGCAAGCCATAGCCTTTTAATGTCGCCAACGTATGTAGGTACATATGTTTGTATTGACTTATTTGATTATGATAAAGATAAATCATTCAGAAAAATTAAACTAAGAGAAACTTAAAGGACTTTAATAAAATAGTAATTATAAATTGGTACACCATTTATTCTACGAATAATAAAATGGTTTGCCAAATTAATAATCCGACACAATTTCGCATTCAACCACCATTTGAACGCCGTCCAGCGCCATTCATGTCAAATTAGTCGACCTCAACCTACGTTACATATGTATGAAGTTTACGTAAGCATTAAACGTTACTTATCAATGATAAGTTATCATCATCGATAAATTTTAGCCTAGTGGCCTCTCCGAAGTGCTCAGTAAAAGGTTTACTGTTCCGGAAATCACTTGCTCGAAATACTGCACTTTCGTATCCTTGTTTAGTCGAAACATTTTACTCCCCCCGAAACCAGCCTACAGACAAAATGGTCGCATCCCTTTTAACCTCCTCCTCCCACACTTTAACTCCAACTTGTTACCTTCCCCCACCATCGAGTCGCCCCATCTCCTCTTCAGATGGATTGCTAACATCCAGCAATCCATGTGCCAGGGGTAACGTTAGATTTACAATTAGCGCCACCACAACCGATACCGATGGGAAAAACGTATACACTGGAACCGGTAGCGAATCATACAATTTAATTGTGACGAAATTCGCCACGACGAAAACCACGAGTCCCACCAGGATTAAAAAGATAGTTCCCAACTCTTGAAATGGCGCGAAAGCCTTCATTGCCAGCTGGACTTTTCCTTATCCCCCCATTTATTCGATCCATTGAGACAAAACATCCTCCCGATTCGTGCAACAAGGTCGAAAATATGGATTTCATCAAATTCAGCATGCTGATGAAGATGAGAATTACGACGCAGAAGACGCGGCATATTTCGAAAACTTGCACAAATAGAATTCCAAACCGAAGCAGGTTCAAGATGAGCATGGTCGATTGGCTGAATTGGTACGTTTCTTGCATGTCTCGTAATGGGAAATATAAGGAGTCGAACTTTGTGAAGAACTGGGATGGAACGACGACAAATCGATAGATTGAAAAACTTCGAATGAGAAAGATCAGGCTGGCTGCAATTGTCACGTGAGATTCTTCAACTGTGTTGGTTAAGCCGCTTCCTATTCGAAATTAATAAGACAAAATCAATGACACCTAACAATTATATAAAAAAATTCCTTAGCAACATAAACAAATTTACTTACAAGGGACACTCACGACCTGTCGTTTGAGTCCAGGGTACCCACTATGTTTTTTAGAATCTACTAGGACCCCAGATGAAGGATCCATTCATATTTCCGTGTAAAACTCATATTTGGCGCCATGGCGTGGCGCCAAACTTAAAAATTTGCATTTTCGACCAACTTCAAACCCTCATAACTTTTGCAGTTTATGTCGGATTTTCAAAATTTTATGCTTAAAATGATCACAAAAGTCGAAATTTTTGACAAAAAATAAAAATAAAAAATTTCTAATTTTTGCAATATTGTTAGGATTTTTTCGACGAACCCCCATTTCGAAGAAAATTACGAAATTTTGCGAAAAGTTAAAAGCGATAATTTTAGAAAAAATTTCATGGAATAAGAAAGTTGAACTCCTTGTCATGATTTTTGCCAAAAATTTTGAAAATCCGTCCACAATTTAAAAAGTTATGGCGGTTTCAAAAATAAAAACATTCAATTTTGGCGAATTTGGCGCCACGCCACGTCGCCAAATATGAGTTTTACACGGAAATATGAATGAATCCTTCATCTGGGGTCCTAGTAGATTCTAAAAAACATGGTGGGTACCCTGGACTCAAACGACAGGTCGTGAGTGTCCCTTGTTAGCAACATAAAAAATTTACTTAGCAACATAAAAAAAATTCCTTAGCAACGTTAAAAAATTTCCTTGGCAACAAAAATATTCCTTAGCAACATAAAAAAATTCCTTAGCAACATAAAAAAATTTCCTTAGCAACATAAAAAATCCTTAGCAACGTTAAAATATTTCCTTAGCAAACATAAAAAATATCCTTAGCAAACATAAAAAATTTCCTTAGCAACAAAAAATGTGCTTAGCAACATAAAAAAAATTTTCTTAGCAACATAAAAAAATTCCTTAGCAACATAAAAAAAATTCCTTAGCAACATAAAAAAATTCCTTAGCAACATAAACAAGTCCACGCGGCATTAACAACCTTTCGCATTATTAACACAGTATAAAATTGCAATAAAATTTCGAATTACCCATACTTATGTATGAATAACGGTATTCCTAATACATAGGCTATATAATTACTTATATGAATACCTCGACCCGATTAGGGTAACGTATATATCAATATTAGTATGATGTATGTACGATGCGTCTAAGTATTATGCTGGTTGATTCTACTATGACTATTCTACTATGACTTCCGTATGACTTCTGCATGGTAGTAATTACTAGCCGATGGCCCTGGAAGCGATGGAAAACATACATACTTGGTACAAGGTTCAACCGGGTGCAGCATGGTATTTATTCAGGAGTGCTTTGTTTGTTATGTAGGATTAGTCAATAATGCTATATGCAGTCCAGGATGTTTGGATGGATTTATAGTTGATACTTTTTTTTACTCTATGTATACATTGAATCAATTTTGCACTATGGAATCCGCCTCATCAGATAAATTATTCAAAATCAATTTAATATTCAAATAACGAAATATGCATAAATTATTTTGATAAATACTCCATTATTTTTTTTAATCCATTTCACCCAACAGGAATCCTCGAGTTCCTTCACTCGTTCCTCCAAATTCTGGATCTCTTGGCGCCTAGCCTCATTTTGCATCAACACGAGAATGACCACCACTGCCAAGATAAGTATTAGGATCTTCACACTGTAAATAAATATAAGGCGTAGAAGTTAGTAAGGATCAACAGATTTTTTTGCGTTTTGAATGTTTCAGTGTGCTGTTAAATTAATATTAATCAAGAAATTTTTAAACTTACTAGAAAAGCATGTCCCTCCTAATCCGATAATCGATCCAATCCACATGGGCTCTCGCATTCCTGTCCATAATACCCTATAAATAATTGAAGTAATTTCATGGCGAGTATGAATAATGCCGTGACAAAATAGTCCTAAGATTCTAGCTGATGATACTTTAATTGGATTTTTTTGTTTATTTTATTATCAATTTAATTTGATGTAGCAATTCTAGGCAGCAAGTGAGAAATTGGATTGATCTATTGATTTCATGCTTTTTACGTATTTCATATTTTTGGTATCGCAATCATTTATTAACCATTTTTAACCACTACATAAATTCATAATATCGAAGGCCGAATCAAGAAATTTTAAACTTAATACCGAATATTGAGGCAAGTTGTGTACTTGTAACAAAAGCTTAGAGCATAACTATCATGAAGTATAAAGAAAATATACTAGAAAATATTCACCTTCAATCAGCAATTATTTCTACACTCTCGTAAATTATAAAACTGTTATAATATATTTGTAATTTCCTAGGGTGCGAAATAGTGTTTTTTCGCACTGGAGCGATTTTCAAGTTTGATGGCTTAAAATTTCCGTAATTTTTTGTACATAAAAAATCTGAAATAATATTGGGGTGGCGCATGGACAGTCTTCGCGATACGAGGAAAAACGGACGAATTTTTTGCTAATTTTAGATTTTGACTCAAACTCCTCCAAAGTTTGGTCAAATATCACGGGAAATAATTTTAAAATTTATTTTGGACCAGAATTAGGCCTCTGCCTTGATTTCTGACCCCAGTTTTCCAATATGTTGAACTTTGCAAAATAATTGCATTTTCCGTATTATTAAGATAGTTAAGATAGATATATACAATGAAATAGTGTTTTTTTCGCGCTCTAACGATTTTCAAGTTAGATACCTTAAAAGTTGCGTAAAATTGAGTAGATCAAAAATCCGTAATAAAATTGGGGAGGCCCATTGGTGGATTTTGAGATCTAAGCCAATATGTGCGAATTTTTTGCTAATTTTGGATTTTCATTCAAAATCATCCAAATTTTTGTCAAATATCACGGGAAATAATTTTAAAAATTATTTTACACTCGAATTTGGCCGCTGCCTCGATTTCGGACCCCAATTTTCCTATGTGTTGAAGTTTGCAATATAATTGCATTTTCCGTATTAGAATGTCACGATCGAATTTTGGAATTTTGGTTAGCCTTCTAAGTTAATCCATAGGTCTAATGATCTAGCTGAATCGCTAGATACAATTCGTTACTTATTCCGAATGTTTAAACCAACTGGGAATGTTGTGAATAGCCGGCTATAGCCGTAAATTTGGGACTGCAGTTGCAACACATATTGCAACAAAATTTGAACGAAATCTAAATTAGAATATGAGTAAGGAGTTCATGTTAATGTTACGACGGATTTCTGATATGTCCAGTTGCCAATTCAGAATTTTGAAATTAACGCAAAGTATTGTTAACCACGCGGAATTTTGTTAATGCCGCGTCGACTTGACAATTTCAACAACGTTAACCATGGAAATTTTAAGCCATCAAACTTGAAAATCGCTCCATTGCGAAAAAACACTATTTCATTGTATTTATCTATCTTAATCAACAGTATCTAACAAACGCCTTGGGTTGTGTATGTATATTTACGTAAGGAAAGTTTTACAAAAAATTGCACTGGAATGACGAGCAGATGAAACTCGAGAGGCCTTCCAGGAAGCATATTGACTTTGAGTCAAAATCCAAAATTAGCAAAAAATTCGCACATTTTTGCTCGTATCGCGAAACTGTCCATGCGCCACCCCAATTTTAGTTCAGATTCTTTATGTACAAAAAATTACGGAAATTTTAAGCCATCAAACTTGAAAATCGCTCCATTGCGAAAAAACACTATTTCATTGTATATATCTATCTTAATAATATGGAAAATGCAATTATTTTGCAAAATTCAATAACTTGGAAAACTGGGGTCAGAAATCAAGGCAGCGGCCAAATTCTGGCACAAAATAATTTTTAGAATTATTTCCGGTGTTATTTGACCAAAATTTGAACGACTTTGAGTCAAAATCTAAAATTAGCAAAAAATTCGCACATTTTTGCTCGTATCGCGAAAACTGTCCATGCGCCACATATTATTTCAGATTCGTAAAATATAACTAAATACCTAACAATTAATTCTAGAATACAGACCCAAGTAAGTTATGAACAGGTACTAAAATTACAGAACAATAAGAACCCAATAATATTTTAGTACTTTCCATCCATTCGCAATTATTGCACAATATTAAGGAGATTGCTTGCTAAAAAGAAATACACTTTAGACTTAATCATCTTATTCCCGTTTTGAGTCCCGTTTTAATTGGAGTCCTGGTTCAGTTGGAATTTGTGGTTGTTTTGAAGAAGGGTTAGGTAAAGTGCTACACATTATTGGAGGGGAAGACGTGCCTGGTATGGGAGGCAATATTTCTTGCGTCTCTAGCTCTATTTGATTTTTGAAAATTGAAAGACAGGTGGGTAAAAATTTTTCGAAAGAAGCTGGATATTTTGTGATTAATTCGTTGAAGCGTTGCTCCAGTGCCAGATCCGCTTCAGTAGGTGGAGTAAGGGCTTGTTGAGCGGGGTCCCTTTTTTGATTTATTTTCTGCCGGGTTTTAGTCTAGACGGGAACAAAATTAGATAATATTGTATTATTAATGTTTATTGCAGGTTGACCTAACCTAATGGAAAGGTTTGGATAGTTAGTGGAGGAAATATTTAAAAGCTATCTTTCCTTTTTAAGGTATTTGTTATCCTCACAAGGAGCCGTCCATAAATGACGTAAATCGAGAGAGAGGGAGTGGGTCTAAGGCTATCGAGCCTATATAAAAAATGTTAAGGGGGATGGAGGGGCTTTAGAAAATCGGGATTTTTTACGTAATTTATGCACAGCCCCCAACCGAATTCACTAAAATTTGTGGCTTCTGTTGTTTATTGCTCTTGTTTGAATTAGTGGAGGATAGAAAAACAAGCTTAACGTTTTCATCCGTGTCCGTCCCTTGAGGTTAATAACTATTTTAGGGGTGGAACAATTCATATGCTTCTTACGATGCAGAAATTTTTGAAAATATTGTGATTGTCCGATATTTCAGGCTTTCAGAAAAGTTTTAGCATGATGAAGAAAAAGCTTGCATTGAGAAGAATATATCAATTCGAAGAAGATAAACGATGCTGCTGTGAGTGGGTAAAGATTGACCTGCATTGGAATACATGGAAAAAGGTACTTTGGGAACGTTCATATATTACGTCTTGAGAAAGTGCATGGTTTTGCGTAGGCTATCCTACTCGTGGTAAGCTTAGTGGTGGGTGGAAGGTCTAAAACTCTGCGTTTTTCTGGTGACGTAATATATGATCGTTCCCTTCTAAGGGTACGATTTTTGGAAGAGGCAAGAAGTTACTTCTTGTAACGGTGGTGGTGGATGTACTCATTTTATATACATATGTATATGCACATACATGTACTACCGAAAAAGGAAAGTGATATTGAGAGTATAGCTGAGAATTACTGAATGTTAAGTGAATTTATAATTTAAATTATTGGTAAATTCAAAGAAATGTTAGCTGACCTTTCGATCGGTATTGGGCTCCATTGTTGTTTCACGCTCTGATTTAAAAAAGAAAAATAGTTGTGCATGTATTTTACAGCGACAAATAACATTTACATGTGAAGTAACAAAAATGTGAGGTTTAGCTACATATATTATTTTACATGCTGTTAAATTACCTAAAAAGTTTATGAAGTTGAAAGGAGGTTCTGGACGGGTAGAAAGATTTTGTGGTGCAAAGCGAACAAACGGTTTCCAGGGAAGCCAGAATATTCATAGATCAAGTCAAGGAACTCGGTAAGAACCCAGAGTTACAACTGATCCCCTTCCTTGGATTTTCTTGCCTTTTTACAGGGGTCCAATCCGAGCTCTTGACCTCGATTCTTTGGGGTTTGCCATTGTTACTGAGCCGGACTTGTTATTCTGTATATGCACGTGTTTCCTGTACCTTTACTGTCATAAGTATGTATATGCATCTGTCTGTGTATGCATGTTTCTGTACTAGCAAATATTGTGGAATATACCAACAAGTTCTGTTTTACGTGAGACTTAAAATCAAATAAACCCTTTTGTGCATACTATGACAATACAAAAATAAGGTCTCAGGTTTTGGTTTATTAAATGTATGTACATACATATGTAGAACAAATTGTACTGTATTCACAAATTGTGCACAAATTAATTTTTAAATATATACAGATTCCGTGTAATCGTTAGTATGTAGGAAAATATAAGGAAACAATTTTACATTACTTCTCAATATTTCAAATTCTATCTGGAGTTTATCCAAAAGACATCACCAAAAATATATTACTTACTGATATATGAAATAAATAAATTTATTACTTCTATTTATACATAATTGAGGAAGTAAACTACACAACTTATTGGCCAACTTAAAGAGTAATTTTCGTGTACACTCTTAGAAAATGCAATATCTTTTCATGAAGTAAAATGGAACGTTATGCGCTTTAAAGTAAACCTCACTTGATTCGAAGTAAAATGGTCAACTTCATTTAGAGTAATGACAAAAGTCACCAAATGTGAAGTAAAACCACTATTTTCTAAACCACAAAGTAAGCTACCCTAGCAGCTCAACCCGAGAATTCCGCGTGTTAAATTGGTGTAAAATCGTATGCATTAGGTGTCCGTGTCAAACTGGTGTAACTTTTTTGGTAATACTCGTGTTTTTCTCGGCTACAAAATACTTAAATCTAAACAATTCATGAAACACGTGTATATTCCACATTAAAACACGAGTATCGAATACGTGTATTTTTAGCTTCGACATTGAATAAATACTCGTGATTTACACGTAGTAAATTCGTGCATTTTTACGATGACCCAATTCATCTGTCGCCGCTAAACTTAAACTTAAACGCAGGATGGCCAACATGTCATTTAAATGGAATACATTTTTTTAAGTTAAATATTTAGAAAAAATGAAAAAATCTAGAGATAGACAAATACAAAGAAACATTAGCGGTGCAATAAGTGATTATAATTTAGTTTTTAAAACTGTGCACCCACCAATATCGCCAAACTTTGTTGACAATCCGGCGTCTGAGGATAAAGTTTCATCGTTGGCCGTAGCTGACAATGAAGATCAAATTGAAAGTGATAGTGATTTTAGTGTAAGGTCACTGTTAAGTGATAACAGCAGTGCAAGTGACGAAAGTGAAGGTGGATCAGTTACTGATTTTAAAGCTGAATTAAGAAATTGGACAATAACTCACAACACCACCGCCACAGCAACGACTGATTTGTTAAAACTTCTGCACCGTCATCATTGTTTCAAATATTTACCCCTCGATTGCAGGACGTTACTTCAAACTCCAAGGACAACAACTATTATTGATATTCCTCCAGGAAAATACTGCACGTTTGATTGGATCACATCCATCCGTAAAATAATTTTATACAATGGCCAAAGTAGTGCAAAAGTGAAACTTCAAATAAACATTGACGGAATACCTTTATATCACAGTTCATCACATCAATTTTGGCCAATTTTAGGCGCAATAAATGAAAATGTATTTGTCATTGGCATTTATTCTGGACAGGGGAAACCAAATTCAGTGAATGAGTTTTTGTCACCATTTCTTCAGCAGTTACAGGAATTGCCTAGACCTTTATTAGTTAATGGTGTTGAACATGAAATCCAGTTAAGTGCTCTAATTTGTGATGCACCAGCGCGTGCATTTGTGCTCGGAACAAAGTGTCACACTGGGTACAGTTCATGTGGAAGCTGTACTATAAAAGGTGTTTATTTTCAAAACCGCGTAATATTTCCGTATGATATACACCCAGAAAGAACAGATATAACACATCGTGAAAAAAGTGATCCTCAGCATCATAATGAATACTCGTTTATGGAAAAAACTGATTTAGATTTAGTTAAGGGCTCTCCTGGTGAATACATGCATTTAGTATGTCTAGGAATTGTGCGTAAGATTCTTCATTTGCTGACAAAAGGAAAAAAATGTCCTGCCAGATTACGGCCAAATCAGATTGAAGAAATTTCAGAAAAACTAGTAAAACTAAAAAAGTACATTCCTCACGAATTTGCTCGTAAACCTCGCAAATTAAAAGATTTAGATCATTGGAAAGCAACCGAATTTCGCCAATTCATCTTATACACGGGACCAGTAGTTTTGAAACAGACAATTTCGAAATCATTGTATCAACATTTTCTTTCCCTTCATGTTGCAATAACAATTCTGGCTGATAAAACACTTCATGTCACTCATAATAATTATGCGAATGAGTTGCTACACTATTTTGTTAAGTATTTTGATATGCTTTATGGCCGTGAAAACATGTCATTTAATGTCCACGGACTTTTGCACTTAGCGAATGATTGCATTAATCACGGTCAACTTGACAAGTTTAGTGCCTTTAAATTCGAAAATAAACTGCAAGAAATTAAAAAGCTGGTGCGATCTACGAATTGCCCCTTGCAGCAGGTGCACAGAAGACTGCTAGAGAGGGAAGACCAAACCCACCACCACGTCAACTCCACTCCACTCCATCCATTTCTCTACTCTGCCTGGTTTTATCATAACTCTCACTTTGATATTAATTGCTCCGTTTTTTACAAGAAATTTGAACACAAGGTGTTTAAATTAAATGCTGGAGGACCTGGTGATAGTGCTTGTGAGATAGGCGACGGCGCTGTTATTATTATAAACACGTTTCTACGGGGAGAGACAGGAGAATTTTCCTTGGACGACGATTTCAAAACAAAATTAATTTTTACAAAACTCCTTGTGAATCATCTACCATAAATATTTATTTATTATCAAGACTTGGACCAGTCGAGTGCATTAAAATCTCTGAAATAGTCAAAAAAATGATTTTGTTGCCGTACGGTGAAGAATATTTTGGTGCGCCCCTTATTCATTTATCTGAATCATCATGAGCGAACATTTTGTGCTACTCAAATTTTTGGAGACTGAGGAAATTGAAGTAGTCACTAGTGCGTGGTTATGTAACAATAAAACTCAGTGCGTGTGGCCTAATTACAAAAATCCTAGCAGAATTGTGAAAGCTGTTGGCCTACATATGCCCCCCGAGTCAAACTGGTCAACCCATGATGTCAAGCTTCTTGGTGGTGGACACAAATTTGGTGAGCTATTAAAGGTTTCAAGTTTCATTTAATATTGATTAATTCTTTTTTATTGAGACTTTTTTTATTACGCAGTCACTTATCATGAGGCGGTGAAGAAGCTTCCCAAAGTAATGGACCAGTCCGACGCAGAGGTTGGGAGTGGCGATGGTAAAATTCGAATTCGTCAAGAGGCGTCCAATACATATGAGAGCTCGGAAAGTGAAGGGGATGACTGTCACTCTGCACTGCCACCGCCTCCTGCGCCTAATGATAACTTAAGTAAGATCCGTTATGAGATAATAATTAATAATAATTACAGAATTGTTTCATATTAGGTGACTGTATATTTACACATGCCATTAATTATTTTAACTAATTTTTCAGTGAAAAATGTGAAGTCGCTCTTGATTACGCCGGCAGCTAAGAAAGTCACAACTAAAGGACAATCAATTCCTAAAATAAAGAGTCCAGTAAGATCCCTTTTAAATTGTGTTTAGGTGGGTTACACTGGCAAAGTTTATTTCTCAGTATTTATTTACCTTCCATTAATTCATAATGCTATTACGTTTCAGTTACGGAAAACGGATCATCTTTACCCGGAGTATCAGAAACTGGAAATCCGGAACCGGACATGGATATTCCTGGATGTTCAGCTTCCACCGAAATGGTTCAATTCCTCGGCGTTATGAATGAAAACGAGCCAGTAACTGCACCACCAGTTCCAGAGGGAGACGCAACAAATACATCCCAGTCTTCATGTGAAGACGAAATTTCACTTTCTGGTAGGGAAGTAGCAATAAAAATTTCTGCATAGTTAGCTAACACTGTCTTTGTTTACGCAGGAAATCAATTTCAGAGTTGGGTGGTCAGAAATGTGGCCATTTTAAAAGCGCAAAATCGTAACATCCAGGAGACACTTGACGCGATATTGCTTAACTTAGATGGAAAGAGAAAGCCGCAAGATGAAGTTCGGCACGAAATTCCACTGAAGAATATGGTCGATGTTAGTAATGCTGCTAATTTTTATGCAGTCCCAAGTAACCGAGAATCACTGGTAAATAATCTTAATCCATTCGTTGCGTCTAAAAATATGTAATGTACAGTTAAATAATTAGCAAAATCTAAATGCTAAATTTCAGATTGTAAAATTAACTCAGAGAAAAGTAAGCAATATCGGAAGCTGCACACGCCGTGTGTTATCAAGACTTTGTGCGGACGAATTATGCAGCATTACAACTGGATTGGGTCCAGGGGCAGCAAAATCGCGTTTTGTGATGCGTGGATGAGACACATTGTATTTGGTAAATTATCTCTTACCGTAAATATGTACAGAAATTTAGTGTAATGGAACTACACATTACATAGTTATGTTAAATCTAAACTTAATGATTCATTGATAATATATTTTAATAGTGATGGAATACTCCCAAGGGTCGAGTCTGAACCCGATGACCAACCAGATGAGTAGTTCTTGGACTATTTCATCGTTTTGTTATTTATTTTAATCATAAAGCAATTTAAATTAAAATAAAGCTGGTTTATATAATTAAAATTGGTGTAATTGTTGGGTTTATTTAGCATAAAATACGTGTATGGAGAATCTGGAACCACGAAAATTACACGAGATAGTATCTAATTTTAAACGTGAATTAAACGAGTTTTCCACGTGTTAGTTTATGGTTTTGTTACGTTTACAACACGAGTTTTAAACGAGTTTTACACCCCAATTTGGCGACAATTACCCCCAAAATTCACCAACTTTTACACCAAATCAACACGCGTTTATCACGAAATTCGGTGTCCGAAAATAGGTGTTTTTCCCGTGTAATTCTCGAGTTTGTGCTACAAGGGTATTATACCATTTAGAGTAAGCAAACCCCATTTAGCATATTCTTAGTCAAACAAGACGCTGACTTTTCCCTCGCTCTCATTACAACTCGCAGCTCAGCCAGTCAGTGCTGGTTAGTCAAATTGAGAATTACTTAATTAGTTACATAGTTAACTCATAAGCAAATAATGGAGGAAACGAGGAGGTTATTTGGACAATTTGGACGGGGACGCTGAAGGGTAAGAAATTCGCATAATTTGAATAATTTATACACAAATTTAATTTACATTGCGTTTAATTTTTATTTTAATTGTCTTTAAACAGATGATGATATTACGGACGAGACTCTGTTCATAATTTCAGGAGAAAATTGTCAGGTTTTCTAGGTCATTTTAGGTCGCCTTTGGAATGCATTGTACAATTTGTGAGAACTTAGCTGGTATATCTTTGTTTCAAGTACTAAAACTAATTTTAAAACTTTAGTATATCATTAAAAAAATATCTTAAGTTAACAGGGTCCAGCGTTTACAAATATCCTCACTAGTGGTTCATAATAAGGGTAATTTGTAATGCAATATTGAATGTGAAATAAAATATATTATTAAAGTACTAAATACTGCGACTACGCTTAAGTAACTTTTCCTGGGGTCATCAAAGCAAGAAAGTAAAGTCATAATCAACGTGATTTAGGGTTACGGTCGTTGCACTTAGTTACCCTGTGAATATTGTTACAGGGTAAAATGGCTTACTTTGTGGCCGAGAGAGAGCGATTCGCCATAAGTGGGGTAGTGGCACTTTGGAAGTTATATCGAGTTATATTTTACGTCATATAAAGTATGGATTTCTAAGAGTGTACACAACATAAAGCTCCTCTCAAAGAACATGCCCAATAAATCCAAGTCGTTACTAAGCCATTGGTTTTTACTGAAACCAACTTATGAACTACTTACACATGAACTTATCAATATTTCATTATGATAAAGATAAACCGTAAAAAAAATCCAAACTAACTATACGATGGTGTGAAGTACAACTCTTCGATTTGGTTTAAATTTTGAAATTATGTGGCCCACGTCAGTACAACCAAATTTTGACCATTGCACAAACTGCCTGAAGAAACGTTGGTTGTATTGACATATTTGGATCATAAAATTTCAATCAAATCGGAGAGTTACACCTCACACCAAGGTATTGTAAGAAATACTGAAAACTCGAGGTACGTAAAAAATATGTAGTAATTATAAATTTCTACAAAATTGATTCTACAAAATACCAATAAAATGGGTGGTAAAGATTAATAATTAGTTTGATAATCCAAAACTATTTATTATTCTACCGTAATTAAGGCACCGTTCAGTACCACTGCCGCCAAGATTTGTCGGCGTCTGTGTTACATATTTATCCAAGCATAAATGTTACTTATAATAACCAATAAATTTTAGCTTAGTAGCACTTCCGAAGTACTAAGCAGAAGGGTCACTGTTCCAGAAATCACTTGCTCAAAATACTGAACTTTAGTCTCCTTGTTTAACCGAAACATCTTACTCCCCCCGAAACCCGCCCACATACAGTATGGCCGCATCCCTTTTAACCTCCTCCTCCCACACTTTAACTCCAACTTATTCCCTTCCCCCACCATCGAGGCGCCCCATCTCCTCTTCATTTCCGTACTAGCATCCAGCAATCCGTGTGCCAGGGGCAATGTGAGATTCACAATTAGCGCCACCACAACTGATACCGATGGAAAAAACGTATACACCGGAACCGGTAGCGAATCATACAATTTAATCGTGACGAAATTCGCCACTACGAAAACCACGAGTCCAACCAGGATTAGAAAGATGGTACCCAACTCTTGAAATGGCGCTATAGCCTTCATTGCCAGCTGAACTTGGACATGCGTCGTTATCCCGCCATTTATTCGTTCCATTGAGACAAAACATCGCTCCGATTCGTGCAACAGGGTCGAAAATATGGATTTCATCAAATTTAACATGCTGATTAAGAAGAGAATTACGAGACACAAGACGCGGCATATTTCGAAAACGTTCACAAACAAAATTCCAAAACGCAGCATGTTCAAGATGAACATAGTCAACGAGCTAAACTCGTAAGTTTCGTTCATGTCTCGCAATGGGAAATACAATGAGTCGAACTTTGTGAAGAATTGGGATGGAACGACGACAAATCGGTAGATGGAGAAACTTCGAATGAGAAAGATTAAGCTGGCTGTAATTGTGGCGTGAGATTCGTGTGACCTGCTTGTTCCGCCACGCCCTTTAAAAAATACATAAGCAATGTTAATCTGTCATAGTAAAATTTAATTTCGGAAATTTCCGAAATATGCTAGCTTTCACACTGCGAAACCTAGCTAGGAGAAATTTGAGTGCAAAAACAGATAATGCGCAGTAAAGTTGGATAGTGTAAATTTTGTCAACTTTGGTGCCCTTTTGATCTTATTTTTTTTGCAAATATCTCCGCAAAACCTGCAGGCTTGGGCAAGAGAGATACTCTAAGATACAAGATACTAGATACAAGATACTACTCGTATCTTGTATCTTCCACCCGCCTCAGCTCAAAGTAACTTGTATCTTGTATCTGGAAAATCCTCAATGAGTATCTTGTATTTGTATCTTGTATCTAATATTTTCCATCAAGAGGAAAGATTCTTTTTGCAAAATATGCTACCCGCGACATCTAATATCAAGGAACTTTTTCTTTACCCTCCCGCGTTCGTATCCCTCCCATACAATAGTATGGGAAGGATACCGCGCGGGAAGGGAAAAGAAAAAATTCCTTGATATTAAAGTTCGATTTTCTTATGATTTAAGAGGTAGTAATTGTAATTTGTAAGAAAATATGCGTGGTATTTTTGCTAGTGGAAGGTGTTTTTTAATGCTAACTACTCAATAGTAAGACTTTCATTTTACTGGCGATGCCTAAATGGCAAAAAATATGAAATTTTATCTTTTTTAAATCTTAAAAAAATCAAAAGTATTTTGTATCTTGTGGAATATTTAAGATACATTATCTTATCTTGTATCTTTAAAAATACTTAAAAGTATCTTTTACTTAGTATCTAAGTATCTTGGAAAGAACAGAGAATAAAGTATCTTTATCTAGTATCTTGGATTTTTTTTGCAAAAGTATCTTTATCTTGTATCTGAAAGCAAAGTATGTTGCCCAAGCCTGAAAACCTGAGCCTGGGCTAATAAATAAATCCATTTGCAAATTTCATACTGATTAAATGTGTGGTCGATGGACACTAATTTGGTGCGCATACGTTGGGATACCTCAATTGTTAGTTATTTGCACCCTAAACACTGCTCCTACACATGTCTGGCGTGACTGGAAAATTCTCAATCTGAACTTACCCCCGTGTCCTATCCTTCCTACGACTTGTCCTTCAATCTTAACCATTTCATTCCACCCATTAACCGCATCCTTTCCGTATAACGTGATCATAACATGGTTAACAACCACGTAGAAGGTCAGAACGCCTAACAAGGCCATGATTAACATTACTGGCAACGGTATATACGGATTTTCCGGTGTGGATCGCACTATTTGAAATATATCGTACACAAATGCTCCAGACGCTATCGTATCCACGGTAAGAAACAGGTTAAAATGCCACATTTTCACCTTAGCATTTCGTCTCGTGGATTTGTAACGGAGACATTCCTGCTTCCTGTCCCATTGGATGGGGCATTCCGAAAAAAATCCTAATTTTGCGGTATATTCCGCCAAACTGGAGGTCACGTAGAACGGCGCCATTTTCAAAGAATTCTACACTACGAATAAACCGTGTAAGTTTACAACACTTTTTGTGATCTTGGAATAACAGTATTTCGGATCGATAGAATAGCCGCAAAAATATTTTCTTACACTCTATATGTAAATAAAATGTGGA